CCAGACGGGTCTTGAACCCGTGGGCTCAGGCAATCCACTCACCTCAGCCTCCCAAAGGCGATTACAGGCTGAGCCACCGAGCCTGGCTCAAAAATGTACTATTAATTGCTTTTCATGTTTGAAAAGTACTAAAAAATACATTAAGATTTCTCAAAATTCCTTTAAACTTTTATGTAGCAGAAACAACAACGTGAAGAAGGAACTGATTTAATAGCCTATGATAGAAGACATCCCGGTTTTGAGAGAACTCAATTAAAAGTCCAATTTTGTACTAAACATTCTGACATCAATAACTCTCCTATCACTAATATTTAGTGTCCTCATTTCCAAAATGGTTCTTCCAAAGTTTTGAGGATGAAATGAGAATAAATAAATAAGTAAATAAATTTTGAAAAGAATAAAGCATTATTCCAAGATACTAGCAATAAATGGGCAAATTAAGGTAACATCACACAGTACTTTGATCTTTAGTGATGATAATAAGTAAAATTAACATTCTTCTCAAAACATGACACCCTGACCAAAAAACTGAATTCATTTTTCATTACTTATAAAAAAATTTAGAATTTTAAATCTGATAAAATATAACTATAAAGCAGTAACAATACTAGAATTTAAACAGCTTGGATTTTCTAAATACTTACATTATTTGCAAACTTTCTGCTGTTAAATTATTCCACATGATCTCATTTGCCTGAAGAATTTCATTTTCTTCTAATAATGAAGTATCAAATTCAATTTCTTGTTCTTTAGCAGCTGTAGTTCTAGGAAAGCATGCCAAATAATTTTTATCAATATGGATGTACTATCATAATATATCCTAGTACACAACAAAGGCAGAATACTTGCTTTTATCCAAAATAACATTAACACTGTAAACACAACTAGTATAAATCAAATTAAACCCCAAGCATCAAAGATCCAGCCATGATACATGAACCTCAGTGTCCTCGTTTGTAGAATGTTGATATTAAGCTGTTTTATTCTTATCACAATTATAATTAGCATAAAACAAGATGCATACATGGAAAAGCAATTGGTGCATCATAAAGTCATAATAATGACTTTAATATATATCTAGAGTCATATTATTAAATAATATTTGTTATTATTACATAAATGTTTAAGATATATAATTTCATTGATTAAATATGAATTTAAGCAATAATATACTAACAAATGACAATGTTTTAAAATATTATTACATAAATTAAATAGTTATTATCATTGACAAAGGACTTTAAAAATTAAAAGCAGACAAATTAGTCTGAAATAGCCTATGTCCTAATAAGCTCTTAAACATTTCTTATTCTAATTTGGTTCTTATTCTAATTTAGTTAACTATTACTTGGTGAAAAAATAATATTGTCATAACTCCTTAGAGAGGAATGAAAATATCTTACCTGTGAACATCTATGAAATTATTGTATTCTGTACTAGGATCTATCTGTTCAACCGACATTTTAATCTCTTTATGGACATTCACTATTTCCTCTGTTACAAGACTGGTTATCTGGCTGTAGTCATCAAAAATACCTTTTCTGAAAACAAAAATAAAATTTTACATGATTTTAAAGTTTTATCAAGAGAAACAGCCCCAAAAAGGATTCAGAAAAATGAAACATAAAAATTGTAATAACACTATCTACAGATGGTGTTTTCACACACCACCTTATTTCATATACCTAAAAGTAGAGTGGAAAGATTATATAAATGGACAGATTAGCAACTCACATTTATATAATACAGTAATTACAGATAATCTAGAATAAGGCATTAACTTTTCAAACGTATTTGACATATCCAAAACATACGGCCAGTGTTGACAACTTTATATGTCTAAATAGTCTCATAAAAATTTTGGATTTGCTTTTTGTTTTTAAAGGACTTATTTATTTTTGAATTGGGGGTCTCTGTTACCCAGGCTGAATTGCAGTGGCATAATCATGGCTCACCACAGCCTCAACTTCCTAGGCTCAGGCAATCCTCCCACCTTAGTCTCCTCGGTAACTGGGACCACCACAGGTGTGTGCCACCACACCTGGCTATTTTGAGGGTTTTTTGTTTGTTTGTTTCCTTTCTTTCTTTCTTTTTTTTTTTTTTTTTTTGTAGCGACAAGGTCTCACTATATTGCCCAGGCCAGTCTCAAACGCCTGGGCTCAAACATTACAGGCATGAGCCACCATGCCCGGCCTCATAAAATGGAATTCTGATCAACTCCTGACTCTTTAATATTCTTTTCTAGTCTGCCTCTTCCTCACATGCCCTACCTGCTGGGTATTCCTTGCTCTGCTCTTTTGTATACTTAGTTCAGCAGCAGACTCTATATTTTCAATGACATCTAAATTACTTCTCCTGACCTCCAGTCAGTCAGTCACAAAACTGTCATTAAAGTTATTAGCATGGCCCAATGAATGCAAAAGAAAAGTAACTATATAATCCTAGCACTTTAGGAGGCCGAGGATTGCCTGAGCCCAGGGATTTGAGACCAGTCTGGGCAACTTGGTGAGACCTTGTCTCTACAACAAATCAAAAAAAAATTAGCCGGGCATGGTAGCACATGTCTATACTTCCACCTACTTGGAAGGCTGAAGCGGAAGGATCGCCTGAGCCCAGCAGGTCAAGGCTGTGGTGGCCGTAAGCGTGCCACTGCACTCCAGGCAGGGTGACAGAGTGAGACTCTGACTCAAATAAATAAATAAATAAATAAATGCCATACTGTCAAAATATAGCATTGGTCACAGTGGCCTCAACAGCAAGTGTAGACAGAAAAGTTTGTCCTGCATATGACCAGGGAAATATAAAGAATAATTTATTTTCTTTTTACAATCACTGCTCATAAAAAAGTAATCCTTACAAAAGCTACTTTATTTTGAAGCATTCTCTCAATTACTTTATTTTAAATAGAAGAATATTTTTTGGTTAAAAAATAAAATTAGATTTAAACTGCTTCAGGCATGCTAGTTCAAATGATTACAAAATAACCTGACAGACACAATTTTTTAAAAAGAGAAGGAAAAATATTTAACACAGGTTTAGTCAATAGTTCTGACATTATGACCTCATGATTGAAAATACCAAACATTATTAATATAAATGAGTCTATCTAGATAACTCTTATAAAAGCAATACAGTAATGACTGTGATGTGGAAATCACTAATATTCACCTTTAAGACAAATGGGGATGAAAAAAGGAAGAAATCACCTAATACACGAATTGGGTACTTGCTGTATGAGACTCAAATGCAATGATATCATCATTCTTAGATTTTTAAAATTCTAAATCTAAAATAATGTATGACAAAGTAAAGATAATATGCTATGGGAAACTAGTATATGTCTCAAAGAAATGTTCTAGTGATGATGAAGATACTGCTACTGAAAATTCATGTGAACAATTTGAAAATATGTCAATTCATAAAATGAAAGTAGAAAAGGAAATATTTCTGAATCAATAATATTTAATTTAGAAATAAGTAACAAAATTTACGAATCAAATATCTAAGTAGACATTTCACTGTTTTATCAACACTTAAAAGTATATATTCAAGTTGACTAACAACACTTTATCTTCTTATTGTGAATATGGAGGACCACATAAAATTTAGTCTTACCTCTATACAAGTATAACTATTTAGTTATCATCATACTTTTACAGAAAGAGAAGCAAAAGTAAGTCAAGCAGAGTCTGAAAGGCAGCAAAGACAAATTTAATCTCCTAATTTCGGTGTTCCAGAAGTCTTTATTGCCCAAGAAATACTTGGAACCTTTATCCCTGATCTGAAATATCTGTATGTAAATGAAATAATATAACCAAGGATAGCCCATTGTACTAAATCTGTTATGGCATCAGGGATCCTATCAAAAAAAAGAAAAAGCCATTTATTAAGGTCAGTTAAAATGAGAGTAATAGCTGATCAAGTTTTTTTTACAATTTTTCTTTTGGAATTATTAAAATAGATGTGCTGTCCAGCAAAACTTGGAAAATTTTATAGAAAAGAACTAATACAACATAACATAACATTATACAATTAAAATTCACAGTATTTGGTGGCCCCAGCTATTCTTTGGCTTGTGGCAGCCTAACTCCAATCTCCACCTCTGTCTTCCTGTAGCCCTCTTCTCTATGTCCTCTTTTTTTTAAGGATTCCAGTCATTGGATTAGGTCAGAATGATTTTCTCTTAAGATCCCTAACTAATTACATCTCTAAAGACCCTATTTCCAAATAAAGTCACATTCTGGGATTCTGGTTACACATAAATTTGGGGGGTATACTATTAAGTCCACTATAGAAAGAGTGCTGGGTTAGTCAAAAGACCTAAGCCTCAGGTCCAAGATCTGTCACTTCTTAGCTTTGTGACTGTGGGTCAGTCCTGACTGTCTGTCAGATATACCCTTGATATAACCTGCTGTTCCTAACTCTCTGATACGATAAGAAGCAAGTGAGCAAATAAGCAAATACACATGAAAGTGCTTTGCAAGCTACAATGTATCATATAAATGAAAAGTTTTGCTTCAGAAATTATCATTATATCTTTAACAGTTACTTTGACACCTATTAAATTTTTCCATGCTCAGTCTTCCTCTTATATCATAACCTGAAATATGCTATCATCTTTCATATTAATTTACTGCCATATTTTAAAATACACTAAACCTAGGCAGTCGTATGCTAATTTATATAATTATATTCTAGTTATACAAGACCCTGCACTTAACTGGCCCAAGTTCCCTCTCTCACAATTCACTACTAATTTGAAAACTATGTCTTCACCTGAGCGATAACCAACCACTTATTCCCTAACGCTCCTTCACCACTTCCCCATTTCCTTTCCCTCTTCCCCAATCTTACTCCTAGTCCGCAGCAACTCTAACATTGAAGAATTCCCCTACACACATTTTCAGTGAAAATAAATTGAATTTAGACATCTGGAAAGCACTAAACCTGCTAACAGAGGAGAACTTTTTCTGTTGTTTTATATCAGTATGATCATAAACATACATACATTTGACTTATTGATTATATTGTTAGCTCCGTGACCCGCTCATCCCTATATTACAAAGCATCAGGTAGTGTGTTTTGCATGCAGTAAAACTTCAATAAACGTTTGTCAATTTTAATTTCACACAGAAAAAAAGGACAAAAAACTAGCAAATAAACCTTCAAAAATGCTTTCCTTGAGGCCTCTAAGTTGTTCCACATTTAAATGCCCGACCCTCTGGAGGCAGACATTCACTTAACATTTGTCAACTAATGAAATTTTTTTAATTTTACATTTCCAGCTAAGGGAACAAAACAAAATACAAAAGAAGGGCCATTTGGAAGACTAAAAGAAGGTTTAGAAGATGAGCACAAACTGAAGGGACACTGAAGTGAAAATCAAGGACCAAGTTTTGAGACACCAATTGGGCTGGGTCAATAACAAAGTATATGAAGAAAAACCTTAACTAGGAAAGAAAATACATTGAACTCATCTTATGAAGGAATTTTATGACAAACAGAAAACATATCTTACAGTGCTTTTATCATTTCTTCTTGCATCTTCTGTAAGGAGTCCAGAAGCAGAGGAAGTGTGACATCATAATACTGATTCTGATGAAGCTGGGCCCCTTTCAACGCCAATACATACTGATTATGCAACACATGAAGTTTCATTGTGGCTTTGTCATAACGTTCCTTGGCCTTTTCAGTTTCCTTCCCTGAAGAAAACATTGAAGACAGTACAATGATAAGAAAAAAGTTTATCGTCACTATGTGCAAGCTAGGTTACCACTATTTTGTTATTTTACAAATTTTCTGAATAATCAACAATAACTTACTGGACATATACTATGTGCTCAGCTTTATGGAAAGTACTATCAATTTGTCAGTACTTAGCACAGAGGCTGCTATGAAAGAAGCATCCAGAATAGTAAATGGTGAATAAAGGTCAAAGTACAACATAAAAATACAGATATATGATTCTTTTCATCTTCAAGGGGCTTATAGGAAATTAAAACATTAGTACACATGAAACTGTAAAACCAAGAAAACAAGAAAGTTTATATATAATGTTAAATTTTGAGATCTGTGTTTGAGATATATCAATATCAATAAAGAGTAGTCACAGAAGGCTTTATGGAGAAAACAAACTTTAAAAGGTGGGGCGTTTCTGGAAAAGTATAAGAAATAAAGAATAGATGATAGCTACTCCCTCTCACCTTTCCTTTCATCCAATGAATATTATTAGCGGAACACTACTAGCAACTATAGAAACTCAGTATTTGGCAAAACACAATCTTTGACATGGAGTCTCATGAAGTGGAACACTGAGTGAATGCATGAAGAATAAACAAAGTTATACAGGCAAACAAAGAGATAAGCTTGTCTAAAGATGAGAACACATTTTAAGAAAGTTAAGGAAATATGTCTGTATTAGTAGGACAGTTCTAGGTACTGAATGAGTTGAAAATCAAGGAAAAAAATTTAGACTGTATTTGGAAGAAGTCTGGGAGACACAGAGAATGTTATCAACCAAAAATTTTTGTGGTTCTTTTACTAAAGTCATTTAGAAAATATTTACAGACTGCCAATATAAATAACTGAATATATAAATAAATGAAAACTTTAAAATCGTTAACTTTTGATGCAAATTAAACAAGTATTTCTTGTCAATTTAGATTAAGGAAATAGACTTTTCAAAAAATTTATTAATTTCTGCTCTCCTTCCAAAGAAGTCCTCCAAATGAATTCTCTCCTCAGAAATATATCTTATGTTGAGAATTTTTTATGCAGAGGTTCTCTCCTCTATGGCCACTCAGCTTAGGTTCAGCAACTATCAAAGTATTCCCCATTTATGAATCTCTCCAGTCCAGGGCAAAAAGCAGGGGAAAACTGATGGTTTTTGCAGAGAGGAGAGAGTTCAGACCCTCAGACCATGCCCATGAAGAGCAACCTTGCCTTTCTCATCATCACTCTAATTCTAAGGCACAGGAGCTACATCCAGATGGTGTAAAAGGGAAACAAGCCTTCCAGCAGACTGTTATGCATCTACTACCAACAAATTCCCAGGGAGTGGCACATAATTATTTCACAGAATATCATTCTTTAGCCATAGTCTATTAGCTGGCTCCTCCACCTGGGGATATTAATAATTGTCCAAGTTGTTCTCAAATATTGCTATAGATGTTCTACTTCACATTATAACACAAATAACTTCTTAATGAGAAAAGAATCTTTCCACCAGAGTCTCTCTCCTAACCCCTGTCTTTGCGGAGAGTGGCAGGAGGGAAAGGGGAGCGAGTATATTAATTCAGTTCAGGGGGAAAAAAGAAACCAACTAAACTTTAGGTACTCAAGAAGCAGTTTCTCACAATTTCTGACCGAAGCCCAAGAGACAACAAATTTTATGTCATCAACCAGTAAATAACCATATAAATATTTAAATATATAACTTAAGTAAAAGATAACTTTTCTCTATGAGGTATGCCCTATGATTTTTTTAAAAATTCTATTCTATTTGAATTTTGAATTTTTTTAAATGTTTATCAGAATCCAATAAACTTTTTGTCTCGATTACTATGAAACCCTAACAAAGTTTTCATTCAATCTGTATAACGCTTGAGATAATTTTATTAACTTAGCAATTAATAAGTCACTTCAGTAATACTAATCGAGAATAATTCTTAACATTCTTGGAAACATATCCTCTCACATGTACAGCTACTATAATAATTTTTCATAGACTAATATAATAGCATTTTTATTCATGAGTTTTGCTACTTAGCATTCTTCTTACAGAAATACATTTCATAAAAGTTCCCAAGATTCAATACAGTTAACATATGTATGGCCAGCCCCACAGCCTTCCTCTAAAACTGACTACTCCTTTTCTTCCCATTCACAAAAGTCAGGAAAAGACTCCTATATGAAGCTGACACCCACGATCCAAGGTGTATACCTGACCATATAAGACCCAATCTTTCAGCTAGAAGCAAAGTCACATTAATGTCTGAATAAGAGTAACAACTCACTAACTCCTGCTATAGAAACTGCCAGAATAGCCCTGGTATACTAACCATTCCGAGACTCATCTCAAAGTTTTTTGTTTTTTTATTTTATTTTTCTGGTTTACCATTTTTATGCTACCTTAAGTTTCTGTTATTTGAAATTGAACAAATTAATTCTAACAACACACAGTTCAAAAGATCGTGTACAATTATCCAGATAAATTAATCCCAAATAATAGAGACATTTTCTATAATCTACATGTTCATAATAAGAAAATAAAACAAACAGTTACCATTCAAGAGTGCTCTAATATATTAATTTTTATAGTCAGTTAAAAAGATATAACTAATCAGTTCACTGAATTCCATATTTTGTCACTTTTTAAAACTATTTTTTTATATGAACTTCAGTATTCCTAATTAATCCCTTACATTTTTAGCTTCAGGAGACAATCTCTCCACACATTTTCATGGAGACATTTAAACTGCCCATCTGTCCTTCTTTTACACAGATATTTAAACTGTACAATATCCATCTGTCTTTCTAGCTGGTGCAGAATGACTCACTAAATACTCAACAGTCAACTCACTAAGACTTTACAGTCCAAGATAACATTAGAAAAGTTAAGAATTTCCTGGATACTTTTTTGCTTTATTAAATACAATATATGACGAATAACCTAAAAAAGACAATTATAGCTAAAATCTAATTACTGACAACTTATTAGTGGTCATTAATCACATTTAGAAAAAAATGAAATGCCTTTGAAAACATCCAATGAAGAATCAATTGCATTATGATGATGATATCATGATGATGATGATGATGATGATGATGATGATGATGATGATAAATTCTCAAAACCACCAACAGGTCTAAAACTGGATTTGAGGTCATGTTTTAATCAGTTTTGGTAGTAGGAACACTCTGTAGCTCACGTACACCTCTACATTTGATTATAAGGCTTGTTTATACATGGGCACTATCTATCAATCTATCTTTATCTCCTGCTCCTGTAGGTATAAACAAAGAGTTTTTAAAACATGCTTACCGAAATTCGACTGCACTTTTTCCTATTTGTTTTAAATAAAAATTTAGGTCCCATAGAGGTTATGTAATTTTTTTTTTTTGAGCTGAGGTCTTATTCTGTCACCCACACTGAAGTACAGTGTCATGATCACAGCTCACTGCAGCCTTGACCTTCCGGGCTCAGGCGATCCTTCTGCCTCAACACCCCAAGTAGCAGGAACTGTAGGCGTGTACCACTAATTTTTTTATTTGTTGTAGAGATGAGAACTCACTATGTTGCCTAGCCTGGTCTCGAACTCCTAGGCTCAAGCAATTCTCTCACCTTGGCCTTCCAAAGTGCTGGGATTACAGGTGTGAGCTATCACACCTGGCAAGCCTATGTAATTTAACTCTAGAAATGTTAATACTAGGCAAAAACCAATTTATACACAAAAAATTTTTAATTCCTTTTACTTAACAAAATTATTCCTAAAACTACCTAACACAATTCTTGCCGTAGCTATGTGGTTTAGAATATCTGATTACTAGCGTAATTGTTTAACTTTTAAATAACTACATATGAGTTCAAAATTAATGTGAAGTACATAGAGTGAATAAATTCTTGACAGACAGAATCATATATCTGCTGCTGCATGTTTTTTAAAAAGTTTTTTTAATGATGAGAGGCACTCAAGCAAGGCATGGAGTCGTTCTGCATGTCAATTAACAGGGAGGAAAACATCCAACTTTTCTTCCTTCACATAGTAAAATTCACAAAGAGACTGAATTCTAACACTTTTGCCACCACTTATTGGCAAATCTGTTTAATGTTTTGTAATAACAGAGTGTGTAAACAACATGTCATGCCATAAACAATATTATGAAGGTAGCAAAACTCAATTATGTAAGTCTGACATTTACGAGAGACAGCCTAGACTACTCATTAAGTTAGTCTAGAAAATCAAGCATTTCTTATTACAAACTTATGAAGTGTTTACCATTTGTAAAATAGTATGATAGAAAGCTTCCTGATAATAAATAAGAAGTAATTATTTTTCAAAAATAAAGCACCTACAAGTAAACTCTGCTTTGATTCAGATAACCACATATTCTACCATCTTACAACTTTCTTTCAGAACAATCCTCCTCAACTTCACAATTTTTATGTGTTACTCTAATTGTTCTCCTAGGCACACTGAGTAAGAAGAAAATGAACAGGAATTCATCTTAACTTATAAGTTACATGAACAAAATATATACACGTTTTTTTCACACATAAAGTGTGATATGTGAGAACAATGAATGAGATGTATAACTCAGTGTTGTTCTGACAAGAACAACGTTAAGAAGTCAGTTTTATTCTCAGTTTCTCCTCTGATTAGCTGTGTAGCCCCAAGCAAGTCACTTAATCTAAATTTCAGTTTCTAGTTTTTAAACATGGGAGTTATCTGCCCTTCCTAATTCATTGGGTTGTAAGGAAGATTAAATGGCAGAAAACTGTCAAAATGTAGTTAATAGCAAAGGCTAAATAAAGCACAGAATTTAAAAAGCAAAAAAAAAAAAACCCCTTTTATATGTTCCTATAAAGCGTTAAAAAATACAATAGATATATCCGTATTTTGCTACTTTTAATAAACTTTTAATTAACTTCCTGGTATAAGAAAATTTGACTTATTAAGAAATATTTATTGCACATTTATTA